GATCGTTGCGAAGTACTGCGCCATAAATTATCACTTGACATGCTGTACTACGCCACACGATTCAACAATTTTGACGACTCTGCTATCAGAAAAATCTGAAATCTGATTAGCCGATCATCTGTGATTTGAGTTGCGAGGGGCGGCGGATTTCTAAAAAAGAATTTTGTGTAACCGAATACTGATCGAATAAATTAGTTGTTCTGAAAATTTTTGATTGGTTCTTTGATATATATAATTTGCAAATCCTTTCATATAAGGATTTCTAGAAAAACTAAATACTAGCCTATTATTAATTATTGAAATAAACGCGTTCAAGTGTGCATTTTCATAATCCATTGACCTTTATTCATAATCCACAAAACTGACTGAAGTATACTTTACCTCAAATTTGGGTTTATTATGGGTTCTTTTATTTAATTTTGCAATTATTAACCGACTCTTGCTTATTTTTTAACCTTTAGTAACTACAAAAAAGAGACCAAAGACTATTACTTTACCATGTTTATTTGCTACTCTTACTGAAATATACTCAAGTTCAAGCCAGTTAGCATTATGCGAAACTAAATAAAAGCAACGGTAATGACATGCATCAGAAGAAGTAGTACTTGAACGAATAGGCCATTTTGGTAAATATTTTCCAGAATTAGTATCATTAAGTGAATCTTTGGAGAATTACTCTTTTTGTGAACGATATTATAATCAAATTATTGCTACTAATCATCTTCTTAAGCATTTAAAAACATTAGATATACCAATTGTCAATGTAAATCAACGTAAATAACTACGGCATATTATTGATAATAGTGCGTCTTAACCATTAACAATTGATAATAATACACCTACACTAATGGATAATCAGGATAAACAAGCTGTCAGTGAAATTAGGATTCAAGTTTCTTTATCACATCCAGATATGAATATCCTTTTATTACAATTATCTCAGAACAAAGCAGATTTATCTGCTTTTAGATCTCAGTGGCTGCAAGATATTAAATACATAAATGAATGTTAGCAAATAATTAATGAAAATTAGAAAATGATCAATGAATTAAAATCTCAAATCTCAAATTTATTATTTGAAAATCAAGTATTAAGAGAATAATGGAATACTCAATTTGATAATCAATCAAAACGCGTTGCAGCTGTAATAGAAATTGCCCAAAAGGAACGCAAAAATGTATATAACAATATTGTTGACTTGATAAATGATCAGGAGTGATTCAGTTTAGATAATCTTTTGAAATATTCAATTTCTCAATGGCTTAATGATCGTAATCCAGTTATTGTTAAATTTATAGAATCTCTTGCAAGTTATGATAATAAAAAAGAACTTGAAGGAGAGAAACTTTTTAAATGTGCTGAAGCAGTTGATGTGATTTATGGTGCAAGATACTTAAAATACGTGTCAGCTATTAATTTAGTAACATTAGCAATCAAATATTCTATAGCAAAATCTAAAACCATTATTAATATTGATAATCATATCATAAGTGCTAGAAGTTATACCAAATTTATCAAATGGTAGGAAAATCTAGCTGGTGAACCTAAACTATTTCCAAAAGGACTATTATTTATGGCATTTGATAATGAACAAAAGGGACAAAAATACTACTTAGATTGTGATTATAATACTGTTATTTTTCATACTATTACAAGTTTTGTTTTATTTAATTTTGATTCTATTAACCAAATACAAAATATCAAAAATCCTTGGTTGCATCAAACTCTTAATATATTATAAATTCAAGAATTATTTGATCTCACCCCAGAAATGCAAATATTACTTGACCAATAGTTTTGTAATTATCTTTTCATTATCTTAACTGAAGCATATGTAAAGAAAAATGAAAATATAAATCATATTGATAATCTAATTGCTAAGCAAAATATAAGTATAGGTAAATAAAAGTATTGTAGTGAATGTGATAAAGGTGAAATTGAAAACTCTAAGCGTAAATGCTTTCAATGTAATGTAAAACTTCTCGCACTCGCTAAAACTCAACAAGAAATTGAACAAATAATTCCTAAAAAAGAAGATTCTACTAAATCTTTTATATTTAAGTTTGAAACAGATACCTCTAACAAGCATACAAATCTGATTAGTATAACCCAAAGATCTATACCTCAAAAAGGCATTAATACACCTAATATTCATATTTCAGATTCCTTACCAATAAATCCAAATTCTATTGCTAATGTTCGCAAAGTTCTAGACCATATTCAAGCAATTAATGAAATTAACAATGGTAATCGAAAATGGATTGTAGTAGTTTGTAATGGAGTTTCTTACAATTATACACAAAATTCAAAAAGGATTATCCGGAAATACTCTTAGTATCTGGTCCACTTCATGAGAAAATGAATATGTTAAAGGCTTTTGTAAAGTTAAATTGGTATTATTATGATTATTAATGTTAATTATTCTAGAACTAATTACAGAATTAATCCTGTGTTATTTAATTAATATAAATTTAGGGTCATCGATCTAAAATACTTTGTACAATGCTAAGGATATAGAACTGAAATTAACTAGAATATTTTAAGAAATGTGTTGATCATCATAAAGCGTGGGATTCAATATGCAATATTTATCAGCATACAATAGCAATGGAGTTGGTTTAGCTTTATTTTACTTTAGTTTCTAATCCATCTGTTAGTGGATATCATGATTAGGCTAAAAATTAAAAGGATGAATTATATAAATTAAAATATGAACAGGTATATGGTAAATCAATAATTAAAATTCTTGTATTAACTGAATACTTGCATCAATTTTTTTAGATTTTTTAATATTTACAAGCCATAATAAACTTTCATATTAGAGTTAGATCTAACCAACCTTTACTTAAATTAGCTGCACATAAAATATTTGCTTCTATTTAGTCTTCCAGGTGACATCCTATTTATCAAGCAATTGAGATGGCTGATGAGGAATAACTAATGTGCCTTTACCTTGAAATCTGCCAACTTATTGAATGAAATGTGGTTGTATCACAGTCAGAATGGTCAAACCAGCATCAGGAATTAGATGCTATACTTGAAGAAGTAAACAAAATGCTATAAATGTTTATACCACCTATACCAACCCAGAAACATTAGAAGATGGCTGTAAGGAATTATACAAAGTTTATGAAGGCAAGAATAAGTGTATCATTATTTTTGATTGCATTATTCCGTCATTATTTCTTTTGCAGATAAATAATCTTCTCCCTCAGCATCAGCATCAGTATCAGTTGCGAAAGGCATTATTTGCTGTAATTGGATATGCAGATTCTAAAAGTACTAGCCTACGAACATGCCTATATTGTGCAACAGAATCATAATATTTTCGAATTCAATTAAGAAATACCAGTTTCTTAAACTTACATGAAAATAATCGTCAATTTAAGAGTTTAGGTAAAGATAAATTAAGTGAAGAAATGAAAAAATTTAGTATTACAGCTCGAGTCTAACGCATTAATTATATAAAAAAAAACTGACTTTAACAAAACTATTAAGATTTTTTCGTTCTATTCCTGTTACTTTTAATGAAATACAATTACAATCAATGGAAAGTTCAATGAAAAAGGAAGAGCTGATAGTTATAATCGAAACATTGATTGGATCTCTAAATAAAACTAATTGAATACAATTTCAAGGACTAAAATCGAAAAGAAAAGATGAGCTTTTAGTAATTTTACAACAAATTTGTGATCTTTTCAATATGACTAATAGTGATGAAGTAAAAGATACAATATAAATAGCAGGTAAAATCCAAAGTGCCCTTAAAATTATAAAAGGAATTGTATAGTTAGTCACTTTTATTGTAATGTTAAATAAAAAGAAATTTTTTTTTGCGAGATAAATTTTATGTAACAGTTTCGTATAGTAAATGATATATTAAGTTTTGTATCACTGTCAATTTTAATAATCTTCTAGAATGTCGATCATTTACATATTTAATCATTCCATATATGAAAAAATACTAGACTGTAATGTATATGAAATTACTATATAAAAATAAATGTTTTTAATATTTCCGTATTTATTATAATTATATTAGATTAAACTGTAGTAATATAAAATTTATATTTTCAAGTATGCATGCATAATCAATTTTAATAAAACATGTACATCTTTATTTTTGTAAATAAGTTAAAAATGTAAAAAGTTTATCTAAATATGGAGTAGCAGATGTTTTAAGAGAAGAACCATTCGAACTCTAACTCATAAAATGAGAATTCCTTCCCGCTAATCTGCGCTATAGTACTATCTAAGTTTTCATTATTTTTACTATTTACCCATAAACTGATATCATCTAATATACTAATGTAAACCATCTTTCTTTGTGATATTTCTCTCATAAAACCCTTGAACTGTAATTCGTGAATTTCTATTACTACGCAAAAACACATTTCTTTTAAATTAAAAATTATTGAATTGAGTCCAGATAGTTAAGCTAATATCCTTGAATATTATTGGGCCTAAGCTAGATGAACTTTTGGATGATGCTTTAGAATGGTTGTTGGTTTTGACTGGCTAATTTCTTCTGGCAATTGCATAATATTGAATTAATCCATTTTGAAAAGCATCGATAGAAGTATTAACTAAGATAAAATCATTATGGCAGGCTTTTTCAATATTATTGATTATCGATAAAATTTTCTATGCTTCAGAGGTATAGTCAGCATCACGTGAATTAATTTTTTTGATTTCTGTTGTAAGTTCATTATTAATTTTTCTGAGCTCTGCAGTGAAAGATGCATTAATTTTAAAAAGATATGTGGTGACTTCATTAGAGATTTTGGTATTAAATTCTGCCATAAACTTTTTGTTTATTTCAATAAAGGTCTTTTCGATTTCCTCCAGTGTATTATTCTTTATATCAAGATCATTGACGATTCTAGTAACACATGCAAAAAATTCATCAGAAATTTTTTGTTTGAGATTTGACCATATAGTAGCAATCCACATGAATAACACTAGACCAATGAACAAAAAAACAGCAGTTAAGGTCAAAAAAAGCATAACTTCTGAAGAGTTGAGTAATGACAAACTGAACATGATTAAGCGTAGTAATTTTATTAAGAGATCTTATTGGTAAATCAAGTTTTTTAGATATACTTTTTTTAATATGCAATCTCTTACGTAAATGTGCTGGGAAAAAGGTTTATTTTATACTATATATCTACTACACGTAAAAAGAGAATTTAACCCGATTTAATAAAATTATGTTGCTTTATTATGTGTATTTGTCATAATTATATTTTTTCAGCTAAAGCAATATTAATGGCCTGGATCCTGTCTAATAATAACAAATGTTCCTTCCTAAATTTGAGGCACATTTAACAATAATGCTTAAAATAAAATCTGATAAATTACGATTTTATGATAACTTGATATAATACTAATGGAGCAATGCTATGTCTTAAAATTTTCTGTTTATTTTTAAGATCTCTTGTGAAACAGAAGATTACATATAGTGCATCTTTGTTTGAGTTAACAACTTCCTATTTCAATTGTAATCAGAAAAAATCAGAATATTTGTCTTAATCGTAGGTCAAAAATCTGTAGATAATGAATCATACTAATTCCTATTCAAAAACAGATTAATGTATTATGAATATACTAATGTCAGTAGGATAATAAAAATATACCGTTTGTCTGAGGATCTGTAAATCATTGATTCTAATCAGCTCTATTTCTATTTTTGAATTCTTTTTATTAACGTCCTGTCTTACGATTTGCAAAATGTAAATCAGGAATATAGTTTTTTTATTAGTAATTCAGAACTGCGTAATAAGTGAGATAGAATATACCAGAACTCTAGAGAAAGTTCATCAGTATAGCAATACAAAAATATTACTCTTGGCTAAGTTTATTAATAGATCCAATAATTGTAGATGCCAGTGACATACTACTGCGCATAGAATATTCTGCAGATATAATTCACATAAATCAGTGATGTCTTATTGCAAGATGCTAAAAAAAATATAGATGACGTTTACATGCTATCTAAACTATCTTCATGATTCAAAAAAGAAATAAACCTATATGATGAATAGTCTATCCTTTAGTAAGAATACATTTCAGGTGATCTGTATACATGATAAAGTCTATGCTTTTACAAATACTATTGGAATTTCACAATTAAGTAGATCTTTGCATTTGATATAATAAGTTCGTTTTCCACAATAGTCACCATCATCCCATTTACCTTTTATATTCTTTTATAGACTTTTTTCTTTATTGTCTCTATTACATATAAGGCAGAGTATTAAACTATTAAAATTAAATTACTCGTAACATTCATTACTATCGATTAAATATAGAAAAGGAAACTACTCTAATGCTAATCCAATAATATGTTTTTATTTCTCTTCTGGATCATCAGGCAAGATAGAAATTAGGAGTCTGAATTAGTTAGATACATTTATTTAAGGCACAGGTAATGTACTTACAGCTACTAGAGAAATTATCTGAAGAATTGCCATTAGCTATTAAGACACTTCACAGGTATTTCGCAGAGATGTTCTCAACTGGTATAGATGTAATTGATATATTTACTTCAGACAAGATTTTTTCAAAAATTTCAAAAATCGAAGACTTATCTTTTGATGATATGTGATGCAATTCCTTTGGATATTCACAGAGTGAACAATTATCTATGATCTCTTGAAATTTATCATTAGTCAACTCTGAAATAGTATTTGCAATATATATTATAATATACTTAATTTTGTCTACACCTACTTTTTCAAATAAATTATATATCTTTACAGCTTTTTGAGTTTTTTCTTACAAGTATTTACATGTGATTTCTCAGAGTTGTAAACCTGTTTTCTCAGATCTTTCTTTACGAAAAATAAAAAGATTCTCTAATATTTTATCATAAATAATTCCTTTCACTTTTTTCTCACCAATTTTGTTACCTTTGAACTTGAGTTATAAATTTCTTTCTATAGTAGTACTAGCATAAAATTTCTTTCTGATTCATATAAATTACACCATATTTAGCATCAGTCGCTTTATCAAATATTGAGCTAAAGTAAGCAGTGGTACTGTAGAAGAAATTTGGTTTTATTGTAATAATATATCGTTAGAAGAACTAAGAATACATTTTTGAGATTGTGAATCATTTTGAATACCATCAGATATCATTTGAGAAATATTTTTCGCAAGATTAGGCAAAGGAAGTAGAAGAAGAAACTTTAAGATAATTTGTCACCTGAGGTAACTTCTTAGAGAGAATCAAATTTAGAAATACTCGTAACTTCTTTAGATTTTATCATTCCCTTAAATAAAAAAAATGGATAAGATTATTCTTCTTTTTCTCAATCTAAAATTTTGCAAGATAAGAAGAATATTCAGTTTTCAGAAAATTCTAATAACAGTCTATCATCTAAATTATGTAATGCTTCTTCTAGCTTCGAATATGATGAGAGAGTAGAAAAAATTCCTTATAATCTGAAAATAGAATAAGAATTGAAAAACGAATTATCTGCTTACATGAAGGCAAGGGATCCACTTCACAGAGTGGAGATAAAATATTTGATATATAGATTCTCGAATTCTCCTTAAAAGCAATTCTGATAGGATCTAATGAAGTTATATTACAAGTCATAATTGATTTATTTAATATAACAATAAAGGCCAGACGAAAGAAGATCTTATGCTAGTATTGTTATTATAAAGTATATGAGGATCAGGTTAAGGATGTTAAGTCTAAGAATGATATTGATAACAAATTAGCAAGAACATTAGTATACAGTGAAATCAAATCCCTTCTTCTTAACATTACTGACGTAAAATAACTTTCAGAGCTAAAAAAATCTATATATTATTTGATAGAATAGGAATAAATAGAATCTAAATAATTAGCTGTAACGCAAGTACTATTTCAAATTTATATAATAATCAGATTCAGAATATTATAAATGATTTTTTCAAAAAAAGCTACTAATACGAATAATAAAAACTCTGTTCTAATTTGAAACAGATACATGACTTTAAAAACCAATAAGACTGATACATTGGCAAATTTCATGGAAGTGGCAAATATATCATTTGTATTTCAATTTAAGCCAATTAATGACTGATCCTATTTTTGCAACAAAATATTAGATCAACATCCCAGTTTATACAGAGAATTTAGTAGTGAAAATTTTAATTATTATAGAATTACCGAGAAGACTTTATATTCATTATGCAAGCTAAATCATAATAATGAAAAAGGTATAAAAGGTAGATATGAAGCCAGGTTCTATTTCATTAAATGTGAACAGTATGAAATTAAGATAATTGCATAGTCTCATTGCCCTTTTTTATACTATAGATACTTTAAAACTATTTTTTTAGAAATATGATAAGAAATATTAGTAAGCTTTCTATCAGAAAATTTTAATCTTTTTTTTTGAATGAATATGAGAATAAAAGGAATTTAAACTGACTCACAATCATATAAATTTAGATATGACCAAGTCTAATAAAATATTAACTCCTGAATATCTGGATTGGTATACCAAATTAACTGAGTTACCAAGTATTTTGACGGATAAGATTCAGTCCTACATATACAAAAAATATAGAAAGGAAATTGGAAATGAGCTATGGAAATTACCAAAAGCTGTGATAAATATGATAGTAAAACCTTAAACCTCCGATTTCAAGCCTATCACCTTTGAAGTCAAACTCAATCTAGAATTAATTATTAAGATTGTCTTAAAGCATTTCACATACTTGAAATTTCAAAATAGTTTCAGAGGAATTGATAATTATGATTTTGCATTATCTCAGCCATGGAGTTCATCATACCTTATTTGTAATGGAAAACATGGAAATTATGGATTACATGATAAATGGTATAAAAATAGAACAAAATATTGTCTTAGTTATAACTCTTCAAGCATTAAATTCAAGTTCGCGACTGTAGTATACTGGGGTATTCAATCAACATGGTTTAACAAAACTATATATAGTCCTATAGTAAAATTTACTATTAATAATTTTTTATAATTCTGATATAAACATCAAGGTTTAAATTTTTTTTATAATTAATCTCTCACTAAATCAATACATTTTCATACTTTAATAACATTAAACTCTTTCCAATATCTTTACTCTAAATTTTACAAAAATGTTCTAAATCATTATCTCTTTTATATAACAACTCAATTTTTCAAAAAAAATATTATTTACATCTCAAAAAATAATAAATAAATCTTTTTAGCACAGCTCTCCAATAAAAAATTTTTTTCTTTGGATTTTTTTTAAAAAACAAGGTGTCATATTGTTTTCTAATTTATAATATATTCATTTATAATTTTAATTCATTTGAATACTAACTCAAATCAAAGTTATTAAACATTAAAGATTTAGGATTTTTTACTGAGAAGAATGCCTTTAACTTCAAGTCATATCCGTCAATTAAAAAAGCTTGTGAAGTATAAGCTAAAAAATTGAAGGCAAAAAAAATAACATAAAAAGAAAAATCAATAAGATTATAAATAAAATGGATGAGACAAATCTTAACAATACCTTAAATCTGGTAACAAAACTACCAAAATTAAGCAAAGAACAAACTTAATTAATTTTTTCAGTTCAATAATTATCTGAAAAAGAAGTTTCAGCAGTAAATAACCTTATTAAAACTATGTATTATCCTAAAGGTCTGAATGAAGGTAAACTTATTTCTCCCTATCTTCAAAATAAAGCAAAAGAATATATTTCTCAAACTTTTTATAAACACAAATACACATATCAAGAATTGCAGATATCAAATACAAAACTAAAAATTAATTGCAAAAAACTTCATTAATAAACTCAAACTTTAATTAAAAAAACACAATCTCTTGGAGTACAAAATATGCATTTTATCAATCAAAATGCAAATCGTATACCTAAAATTTGATCATTAACTCAACATTTACAACAAGTCACAGATACAACCTTTCAAAAAAAACTAAAATCTATTTTTCAAGTAAATAAGCAAGAGTATGTATCTAATACTATTTGGCTTGCAACCAGTATTTCACAAATTAGTCAGATATCATTACGTTCTACAGTAGAATATATGTAAGTAATTTATAAATTTCTAATTGAAGAGCCACCTCAAATTGGATAACATTATCAACATTGTGCACTTGGCAGCAAGATATTTCTACATTATATACTAATGCTCAAATTTATCAGGTAATTATAGCACCATCATTTGGAGTTTTAGTTGACAAATATATACGAGATAAAGCAAAGTACTTAATTTTATGTTATTAGTTTTGGAATCAAAAGGATCAAGTACCTGTTATAACTGTAGCTCATCTTAAGGATATTCCTAGTTGTAATGTAAATACTATATCTAATACTATTACAAAGTTTATATAACAAGATGGCTTATCTTTTGATAAATATACATTATGAGTAACAGATAATATAGCCTATATGTCAAGAGAAAAGAAAGGAGCTATTATTCTCTTTAATAAAAAAAATGACATAAATTCAATTCGAATTGAATGTGTACTTTACATAATTTAAATTATATTAAATAACTTTGAATAAGAAGCATTTAGAACAATTTCAAATAGCATTGGTTTTTCAAGAAAACTTTACATATACAATTTACTTTACTTAGCTTAGAAGTTACATAATGGTTATAATTCAAGTGACAAGAATAAATCACTTAATATTAATACTCATATTATCTAAGAGTTATATGATGGATTGTTAGGATTTCACTACAATCAATATCAGTTACCTCTCTGTTCTCATTGGAGTTATGAATTATAAACAGTCAAACAATATCTTGATCATCATTCTGCCTATATTGAATTTGCATATTAGTTTATTAAAGAATTAGAAAAGTATAAAAAAACGCCTAAATCTTATCTCAATGATTGGTATTTTTTTAAAACCTGACTTTCTGATCCCAAATTAAATATTCAAGTTAAATGCTTAATCAACTTTGCCAAACACTTTTATAAACCTCTAATATAATTTATAATAGGATAAGATAATACTTAACGATTATATGAAAATGAACAATTAATTGCATTGCCTTTAGGTTGACGTGCTCATGAAATACCAGATAAAATTTTTGAATGACACGAATTTCTCCAAAATCTTACTAGTAATTTTGATATTTTTTTTTAGATCAGCTTTTAGAAGCTATAAATATGTTATCCAATAAAAAATTTCAAATTTTATTTGATAGTTTAAAGCATGGAATTACGAAAGCCTTAGAATTCTTTTAAAATGGTCTTTATTATAGCTTCATTTATCATTAGCAGTTTATCAGCTTGGAGGGAATAGTATATAATTATTTATATCTAGCTTTTATCATGTGATTCTCCAAAAACCTTGGATCTCTCTACCTTCTGATTTGGAATTGCGATTTGCTTAGGATTTGGAAGATGACAAAAATAATGAAATAATAAATGACTTTGATTTGAGTGAATTGCTATGTCAAAACAGCAGTTTTCTTGAAGAATTTATGCAATTTTGCATTTGTGATGATCCAATATATCATTTTCCCACTATTTATAATTTTGTTAAGAATCATATTTATTATATTATCACCTACCAGCAGTAAGTCAAAAATCTTTTTAACAAGCTTGATCTGAAAACATATCATTATCAATAAAACAATCAAAGCTTCACTTGTTATCAAGCAAAATCTCAAAAGAAATTTGGCTAGTAAGTTAAAAGAGATGCAAAAACAAAGAAATGAAACAAAAACAAAAAAAACTCACTTTAGAAAGCACAATTTCAGTTATCTGAATCTGATATTGCATCAAAGATTTTTAAACAATTAATTTGTAATAGTAGTTAAAGCTGTAATTTGTATTACTATATACTGTAAAATAAATCAGATAATTACGTTAAGGCTGTAAGGTATAAAATTATAACCTGATATAGGTATACTTTATTCATAATTCAGATTCAGAAATAAGCAAAAAATACAAATAAATAATCCCATCCATAAATGAAATGAAATTTAAAGTTATAATAATATTGTATGATATATCATGATTAATTTATAAACTGAAAAATTAACCAGTTTTCAGAAGTAATTTTGGTTTTCAGACACAATATATTTTATATAATACAAAAAAGATTCAATAGTAAATTTTACTATTAGACCATATATAGTTTTGTTAAACTATGTTGACTGAACACCTCAGTAGTATACGTCTATCATCACCAAGAAATATTTGGTAATGAGTTACCCCGCGTCATATTTTATTGTGCCAAGTAGATTTTTTTTTTTTTTAGTAGTCAATATATCTAAGTGGGATCATAAATAGTGAAGGAGTCAACACGCTCAAGTCATGAATGAACCTTACTCTTAGGCCAACACAATATTGAGAAGATCTTAACTGACTAAATTATCAGCCCTAATTCACATCGTACTACTGGTTAGAAGATTGCCACCTAGGTAGACATCTCCAAGAGTCTTACCTTCAGAGTCCCTAGACTTCTGAACCACTGTCACTTTTTTGGATAGAGGGATCACTTTCAGCCACATATACTTTGTCAATTTTCCTTGTATTTATCAATATCATATCTGAATCACTATTACTTCTGCCCGGTATCAGGGTATTTTTTACACATGATCGGGAAGGCTTAAATGTTATCATTTTTATAGAATCTTAGAAAGGTAGGTGGCTGTCGTACCCATATCGTCAAAATCACCTAGGAATTGAACCTAGCCTCTACCTCTATGACAGCTCGATTGGAAGGTGCTGCAGCAGTGCAATGCAGTTTATTATCACCTTAGCCACCCATAGGGAGTATCCAATCTACTAATTACTGGTTAATCACTTCCTTACTTGTATAAGGGCCCTGAAATTGAAGACGTGAGACAGTATCCATTACAGGCCTATCAGCGAAGGCCAAGTTTCTGTTGATCCCTGACTTCATTTGCATCCACTTATTCTGCAATTTCAGTATTTAAGCATGATTAATGTCGATCGACAGGTCGATTGACCAGTTTCTAATGCATATTAGTATATACACCCACATATTTAGTTACATATGAAATTCTTATGAAAATCATCTAGTTTTATGCCTCAGCTGAGACTTGAATCTGTGGCTATTGCAGTGTAACTTACAATAGGAGCTCAGTTGTTGCCAACTAAACTAGGGATATTAATCCCTTTATTGTGCTAAGTAAATGTGTAATTTCTCATTACATAATTAACTACCAACTAGATCAATCTGTGCGATTTTCGATTTCTTATATTAATAGTACTCGTATTTTTTTAAAAAGAGAAATTAAACGTCTCAGAATTGTTTAGGTAAAAAAATAAAATTATTAAGCTACTTTACTGGAAATGAAAATAGGCAAGTTGACGCGCTACCATGCCTTGATGATTTGGATACGGAGGATGAGAAATGTACTTATTTAAGGTCTTTAATTTCGACGTCTGATATCCTTCCACCTTCTTGTTGCCAAACACCACTCCAAGTTATTGTAGAAAAATCCGTTTCCATTGGTAAGTGCTTTGAAATAAAAAAGATATCAATTCTGATATAGATTAGTTTTTGATAATCATTGCTTTGTCGTCATATTTTGTTAATAATATCAAATATTTCAAACTTATTCTGCTTTTTCTTTTTCATCACATAAATAGTCCAGCAATTGTTACTTTTTTAAGATGAGAATGCTGAAGCTATCGTGGATGCTGAAGTTGTTGTGAATCTGTCAACTTCTAGGAGTATTCTGAAAGACACTTACTACCTGAAAATGCCTCACAACTCCTTCGCTATTATGGTAAAATTTGCAAATATATTATTTATTATTGTGATATTTCTTTACTTATGATTTTACCTTCGCATTCTTACAGAACTTTAGAACAAACTCTATGATAAATGGCTGAGTCTCTATAAATATTTGGAACATCTACATGATGTAAAAAAAGATCTTGTCCATGATTCATTCAAAAAAGAGATCAAGATTTTAAAGGAATTATTTTCAGATGATCACTCCGTATAACAGCGTCTGACACATTTGAAATATTAACTTAAGGTAATGTTATTTTGTTTCAAGTAGGAAAATAAACAGCCTGAGAATTGATAATCTAGCAAACTGTATACTTTGTTAGTGAGCTATTTGCTTAGTGTGCATGGTGTTTTCTCGTTATAAATTAGTCCAAATGTTTGGATTAATTCCAGGAGGATTGTTGTATCTGATTGCACTTTAGCTTACTAGAGACTGTATGCTCTAAGATGTTTCCTTGTAAGTCAAGATTCTTTCTTATGAGTTGAGGTGATCCTCATCTTCAAAAGTACAATCTTCTAGGCTACTTCATGTGCTTTATACATTTTATAGGCATCTTAGTATTTTGTATAAATATTTTCACATTTTTAATAAAAATGCTTTTTTAGATGAAACAGATGCCACGAAAGATCAAGAGAAAAGTAGCAAATTGCTTATCAAAAAAGAAATTGTAAAGAAAAAAATAAAGATTGCATAGGTAGAGCTCCGAACAGGTCAGTTTAGTTCAGGTCAATCAAGTTATCTAAACTAAGAGGATCAGATCAGGTCAAATAAAATCTGACCTGATTTAAATTTTTATTTGATCCGACTTGACCTGACCTGACCTGACCTGATCTAATCTAACCTAATTTGATCAAATTATTTTAAAACTCTAATTTATTTTATTATTTTTCTTTTGCTTTTTCTGTAAAAAAAATTGTATGCGAAATGATATGGAAATTTTTAATTTGATGATCAATTA